AAAACAGAAAACTAACCTTTTATGCATTTCTCTTTGTCAATCTCTTAAAGTATAGAAAAGAAAGCGTACTAAAATTTATCTACCGATACAAGAAGCAATTGACGTTTTCTTTTTGGTCATTTTACTTGTGTGACACAGTAACTAAGAGGAACATTTAGAATAAAAAGCTTCAAGATATTTCACTTTGCGGCAGTATTCAACACCTGATTTGCTTTGGGTTCTTAATAACTCATGTTGGAGTATAAAAACAGTTTTAATATATAATTTTTTTTGTAAAATATTATTCTGAAACTTAACAGTCAGGAATCTGTTGTACGTCCATTACTTCCCCTTTACAAATTGTCACACATGTCGAGTAGTCATTGAAAAAGACAAAACTAAAATGCCCTGCTGCCACCAAAATTGTTTTCAAATATCAAGCTTAGTGTCGTTAAAAAAAGCTTCTAATCACAGTAGAACTGAACCAGCAGTTCAAGTTTTTGTTAACTTAACTTCAATTCGCTTTGCCTTACTTTTCTAGACCTGAAGCACAGTTGGTAGACGTTTTTTAAAGTTCTTGATCACAGATTTGCTTAGGTTCTAAGAGTCTCCATCTTCTCTAATTTTAGTTCTTGGCGTTATAGTAATGAAACAGCTTTTATACGGTAATATGTAGTAATGTCAGGCTCCTGCGTACATGTATCATCATATATTTTTTGATGTTGTTCGTACTGTCTTATTCTATAAATTTTTATTATAAAAGTAGAATTTGACAAGTTTTATATAAAATTAGAATGAAAACTTATTGAGCTGTGTATGAGAGGCAGAGATACTGGAGATCTGCAAAAATCTTAAAATGGATTTTTAGTGTCTTTGGCGTCACAAAGAACGTTTATTGGTTGCTGCCCCTCGCTCGGTTTGGTTAATACAATAATATAGCGTAACTGGAATACGGAACTGAAACGGAGCCCAGAATGTTGCACGTTTCTCTTAAATATAAAGAGGGAACAAACCTCCTGTACTCTCAGCAGCCTTCTTTGTTAGTTACTGTGATAAGGATAAAACACTGCTAGGGTATTAAGAAGTCAAGATGTTTAAAAAGACGAAGTTTACATACTGTCATTTATTTTGCTAAGCAAAAACGCTGATTTTTCGTAGCCATTTCATTTTTAGTAGCTTCCAACAACAACAAGCAAAGTAAACCAATGAAAATAAAAGTTTTATGTGATCAAATATAGCTCTTGAACTGTCGCTTGCAAGTGTATTTATAATACCTCTGAAAGTAATGTAATCCGAGAATTCTAAAAAAAAATTGTTCTACGACATTAGTTCAAGCTCTTAGAATTTGGTTGAACAACTCTGCAATAGAACCCTGAAAGCTTAAGCCGGTAGAAAAGTACAATTTTCTTACATATTCGCTCATGGTGTCACTTGGTTCAGAAAAACCAGACACGTGATTGCTATCTTTCTCCGCTGTTGCTATCGGAGGATTTAGGTTCTGATAAGAGTAAGCTTTTGTGATCGGTTTTTGAGTTCCCAGGCCTGGAACTTCATTGAGACCCATGTGATAAACATGCCTAAACTTCGCCAAAATGTTTTAGATTTTGAAAGCTTTTTTTTCGAGATTTAAATGATAAAAGCTAAGAATCCAAGGTGCAGTAGTTGCGCTAACCTGAAATTGGTAGGCGGGCTAATGTTTACCTTCTGTATTTTTCTATCCTCCTTCTTCATTTTACCGATTCCGCCACTTCCGAATTTTGCGCAGCGTAAACAAGCCTGTTGGTGAGACATGATTTTAAGCATTCTGGTCAGATGTAATTGAAAAATTGTCAAAAAGTTGGAATTGCTATTAAAAAACGAAAATAAAGCTAACTGTTAATTAATTTCCGGTTTTCGATTTATAACAGTACAAAAGCGAGAAAAAACCGTTGCAGTTCATGTGTGCTACATCAAAACATAGTCTGTTACACTTTTTACCTCCTCACCAAAAGTTATTCTTCTGCTCCGCTCTAAAAACGTAATTCAAGGCGTTCTCCTTTCTAGAGCAGTCTTCGTCTTGTTATTTAATCTAAATTTAACAAAATTGCATATCCGTTCATAAGTGTTTTGAAACAGTTAAAAATCTAAAAGTAGCTGCTACTGCTCTGTGGAAAGCGAAAATACCTCCATAATTATTAAGCTGAAAAAGCAAAAAGTATGAGCTGCTTATCACTGCAAAAACCAAAAGTTACATTATAAGGAATACTTTTTAAACGTCTTTTAGTTGCCGATAAAAACCAGAAAAAATTGGTCGTTAAGCGGTCTTAAAGTTGCCAAGGACCTAAATTCAGTAAACTTTAAAAAATTGTGCAGAAGAACTGTATAGTCAAGTACAATAAGAAAGTTTGCAGAACAAGAAAGATAATGGTTATGCAAAAAAAAAAAAGATGCAACAATTTTGGACATTAGGAAACTGTAACAAAACGCTTTTTCACATTCTAGTTTATTTTTAAGATAAAGCCAAACTTTAGTAAGTAGCAAAATTTTAAAATACTCTGAGACGATAACCAAAGGTTGACATCAGACACGTCATAACTAACGTCTAATTTGATTCAACGAGATAAGGTTTTAAAGAAATTTTGCAGTTGCTTTTTCAAAGTTATTTAAATTTTTAGCTGACTAACAAAAAAAATTTGTAAACAAATTTAACAAAGAGATAAACTGTAGTTCAATTTTATATCTTTGTTTTTTAAATACATTTATGCCTACAGCAGAAACAAAACAGTGTATGAATAAATAAACGGCCGAGAAATCAGAAAAGATTAACCAAAAACTTTTAGCATTTCAAAAAAGCTCAGATACAGTAAAAAAACCTAGAAGAAGAACAAAGACCTTCAGAATAAATGCTATTATTTGCAGATGTAATATATAGAGAGATTGGCAGCAAGCTTCTCGAACTTTTTATCACTGTATCAATAAGTTCAGTTCTTCAAAGATGCTTTTGATTCGAATAGTTGAAGAATTAAAGCTTCTTAACAAGCACTTTATTAGTATATCAATAATGATCCAAAACGTACATAATAAATGAGTTTTTCTGCGTCACATGCACTGAGCAAGACTCTTCTCTTGATTGATATTCATTTTAACTTGTGAACTTGTAAATAACGCACTTCTACATACAGCTTATGCGTAACATCATTTGCACAGGTCATATAAAAAAACGCTTTTGCTCGCGATTACAAAACAATGTTTAATAAATATTTTCTATTACTTGTCAACTGCTTTGCCCTTCTGTAATTGATTAGATTATTATTTAACTTTTTGAAAATCGCTAAAAGACTAAGGTAATAGCAGTAGAACTGCTTCAAATTATTTATTAACTCAAAATTTATTTTATAGTTTAGACTTTTTGGCAAGCAACTGAAAGATGTTCAAAACTCGGTGACTGAAACTGAGCATCCCCTTTAGTTGATTATTTTTTGAATTTAAAACATAGTAGAACAACCTTTCCTATCTTTTTACCTCTCTTCTAGTAAGAATTATAGTTAAAGACTTAAGCATAAAAATAAGTTAAAATTACTGCAGTTCAGTTATCACAAGTAATATTACATATTTACTGTCTGTGGCTTACTGCATTCGACAAACCAAATGGCACATGTAATTTTTTATTGTATTCTTTAGTAAAAACAGTCTTATCCAGTATCCGCCTTGAGTTAGCATTTTTGCTTAATATATATATATATATATATATATATATATATATATATTTATTTATTTGTTTATTTAATATATATATATATATATATATTTTTATATATATATATATATATATATATATATATATATATGTACTTGGTTCTAGCTGAACAGCATACATCATTAGTCTTTTTTCTTTTTTCTTTTTCCTGTATTATCGCAACAGTTGTTGAAAGCGAGCGTGAAAAAGGCAAGTTTTTAACTCTAAGGACAAAGAAAAACGTGATTTTCGTTTTTACTGGTAATTTTTAGAGGAAGTTTTTTTATTCTTTTATAAGAAGAACAAGAATGACGTATTCTTCGTGGCCGCCAACCAGACTTAAACAGAAAGAAATAGAAACCGCGACAAATCGATCATACTAAATTTAGGTTACTATTAAAATGATTCAGTTCTAACATGTTTTAGTCTTTAATCCGTATTTCTCTTTTCCTTCACTGGCTCATAACTTAAGCGGAAACGTTGCCGAAGAAAGACTGCTTGACAAGTCACTTTTTTCTTCTGTTGAAAATGTTGTAATTCTGATTTGAAAACCCCTATTGCAGGAAAATTTTTCAAATCAAAAACTCAGCTGTTTTGAATCTACCGAACGATATTTGTATCTTCAAGCGTTCGTAATAACATTATTCACAGTGGTGATTTAAAATACAAGTAAAATATGGTTAGACTTTCAATTCTATGCACGGGTTACTGATTTCCACAAGATATAACAGTACATGTTGCACATTGAAGCCGTCGTCAAAGAAAAATTTTCTAGTCTTGATTCCCCACATTTACAGAATTTTTTTTCCACGACAAATTCTTCTGGCATTTTTTGGCGCAATAGACCAGCACAAAACTATCATCTTAAAAGTAGTTTTAGAAATGCAGTTAAAGCGAATCCTCTCGTCTGTGTGAGAACTGTGTGACAAATTGTGTTGACTTCTAGCAGAACCGTCACCCAACGACCTGACTAAGACTTGCTGATTAACACGCCATGGACACCCTATAGCAGTCGTGATAGCACTTCATTTTCATCACATGTGACTTTTCAAATGCAGAAAATCACAAAATGTTTTTTGTAATAAAGCGAAAGGAAACACTTTTGCAAATTTATTTTTGTCAAGTGCGACGAGAAGCCTTTAGTGTGTCAAATTCTGATAGCCCTTACAAAAAATTTCTAAATTTTTACTTCTTTTTATAAAAAATTTTTCAAAAAAGAAACACATTATTCAACTGAGCACATGATTCGACTTAAATGCATTTCCAGCAAAATAGACTAAGACTGAATGCATTTGTTCAAAATAAAATTAATAAGTGAAAAATTTTCAGTTTGTACAGCACTGAAAGCAATTGCAACTAATTTATGTACCGTTTTGAAAATGTTATAAGCGAATAAAAAATGTTCCGGCTTCTTCTTTGTCTGAAAATATAAAGTACATAAGAAGCTACCAGAAGAAGTAAAACTTATTAGCCAAAAGTTGTATTTTGAGAATTCAATGTATTCTAGTCTTAACACAGTGTATCTTCTGGTATAGTACCAAACAATGCTCAATGCTAAAGTCATGTCAGGAAGAAAACTGCGCGATGCTTCAAGGGAGGTACCATATTTTGGTTCAGGTATCATCAAATTGTTCCTTCATTAGCAAACGTTGAGACCACCAGTTCAAGCAAAAAAGTTTAGTATAATTACTAGAAGTGAGCCTTTCCGTATAATGGCAGTAGCGAACTAAGTGGGAGCCAATCCAGACACCGATGCTATTACAGGGGAAAGACTTGATAAACAAGGAAAGATCTCTGAAAACCGCATACAACTCAGAGAGAAGCTCGAGCTGGAAACCACAATAGAAGTTGAGGTGGTAAAGCTAGAGGCTAGAAAGTTAGAGCTTGAGTTAGTATATCAGAACAGAGAGATGAGTGCTACCTTTTGGATTGATTCAAAAATATTAAAGCGGTAGAACACGAATTGGGCACTCACCGAGTATGGCCAAGATGCGTGCGGAACTTTATACATACAGATGTCGCTGTTAATGTTTTATCTAGGTTGCAACAGTTAAATCGAGACAAACTCTAAAGCATGTCCACTTACCAACAGTTACTGAATACCTCCGCCATATATGCCACGGTAAAAGTAAAATATGTTTTCTGGTCAAGTTGAGCAAGCCCACAGTCAATTCAAGTTAGGAAAAATTGGAAAGAGAACGAAACTTTAGCAGACCTCAGATTTTGTATCGCTCAAAAAATAGTATCAAAATGATGACAGAGTTTGCGCGACGAGTGCAGGTTTTGACAGATCGGACAAAAAATGAGGTTGGAGATTGACGTATTGAGTGACTGACTTTATAAAAGCGAAGTAAAGATGACCGTGATAAAGATGGAAATCGACAAAATTAATTATATTTGGCTAGAAAAATTTGTGGACAACGACCAGACAAGAGTGGCCATGAATGCTGCGTCAGCGCTCATGTAGTAAGAAGATCCAAAAGAAATTACAATACACTAATCCTTGTTCCTTTTGGATATTAAGCGGTTATAAGAAATTTTTTAGCTGGAAGATTGACTAGGAAGCTGCAAGATAGAAGGCATATTAAGAGAAAGAATATGCTGAAAAGATTAATAAGGTTAGAGGAAGAAATGGTTGAGGAGTGGGATTTGTGCACAATGTGGGAAATAAACGAGACTTTGAATAAAGTCACAGAGAAAATTTGACAGAATCAAGTTAAAATGACTTCTGAACAGGTTACAGCAATAAAAAAGTTAGAGGATTTATCTATGCAGGCTTCAGTGGGCACGGGTAAGACGATCCTTATCTCTTGGACATCAGCAAACTTTTAGAAAATCTACAGAGTGTGACTGTGGTGTCGACACCTATGAATTTAGCTACTCAGGAGATAATAGAAAAAGTTCTTTTAATTAATGAAATGCCAAATAGAGGCGTCTTGTTTATACAATCGACTAATAACGAAACTTTGAAGAAAAACCTAGGATTACGATTGAGAAAGCAATGTCGTATACCTGAAGTACTGGAAAGACATTTACACGATTATATACCTGAAAGAGACAGTAAATTCATTCGTAATTACATAATGAA